TGCTTGAACATTTTTAATAATGTATTTGCTTGCCCCCCCCGTTACTTTGTATTATTTAAGTCTAATGTTCCCACGACTGTTGCTTTGTCTTTTCGTCTTTGCTTCTGCAGCAAAAATAATGTATCGGAAGAAAAATTGTCTGTTTTCTGAACCATGTAACAGCCTTGCTAGTCGCATATAATTGATCTCATTTAGAGCCATTAAATCTTCCTGGCTATAAAAGCTTATTTCCGGCCATAAAAAAAAGTCAGATATGGTCAGCACGTGTCTTTCTGTGCGTATAACATTATATTTTGATGCTTTGTTTATTTATAAGTTTTGTCAATCTGACTGAACCATGGACCTTATAAGAAATAGACTAACCCAAATGGATTTTCTCCCTCGTCTGATGCGTTCCCGGCTGTCACCTTGATCACATCCGGAGGAGTAGGGACGACTTGCCGAAATTTAACAGTGGTTGCCTATTGCAGCGTGTATAATAGTCAAGAAAAAACTAGTTGTAGCGCCTCATTTCACAAATCAGAATTTCTACATATTTTTATTTTTGAAACTGAGATCGATTTTTAACAATTTAGCATATTTATCAAGCCTAATTAGCGTTCCAAATAATTATAAAGCTATTGCGTGCTTTCAGGGCTGGATTATTTTTTTAGCTTTCCTATGCTATAAGGAAATTTGCAACTACTTTTTTAGAAAGTAATATTTTAAATCTGAACTAACAGAAAATTTCAAACTAGCAATTTTTATGCTTTTTATTGGTGTAAATAAGTAAAAAATACTAAAATATTTAGAAACGAATTTTTGAAAGTTTTGTTTAAAATTTTAAATTGTGCTGCTTTTTTAAAATTGTAGAGGAGTATTATAGCACAATTTCTATATAGGAATTTTATTTCAATTATATTTCATAATACATCATAGTGATAAACACTTGACATCTTAATTTTTATACATTTAATTCTAATATTAAAATTGTATTTAACCGTAATAATTAATTTTGCTTGTATTTTATAGTCATTATTTTTTTAATTTATTTTTAGTTCTGTAGAAGATTTTTTTTTTATTTACTGTTAATTTAATTTATTAGCTCGAAGCGGCATTTTGCACTGTTTCACTATAAATGTCCGTGTCTCCTTGCAAATTGTTACCAAATATTATCTCCTTGTATTATATTTAAAGAAATTAAATAATGAAGAATCTGCATGAATACATGTATGTTTCTCGCACTGTGACAAAAACGATGGCATCTAGAGCCATCAAATTTTGAATAATGCAATCCTCCACCCAAACATGGGCATCTGGACGGCCGAATTTCGAATTTGTTTTAATCTATTTCATATTTTGTAAAACTTTAACGAATTTTTGATTAACAAACTCAACGAGTTCAAAGCGAGCAATACTAACACTGTACGGAAAATAAAATTTTTTTATCTCCAGTGCGAAAATTCTAAAGATATGCTGCTTTCAAATGTATGTGGTTTACGGGCGAAGAACATGATATTCAATAAATATAGGTAACACGCAAAACGTTAAAAAAAGGTTCCTTTTGGGCGTAATATAAAATCTGAGTGCTTCTAGATTTTATTTTATCTTTTTTCCGCCTTCATTACACTCAGAAAATTTTATGCTCCGAATTTTATAAATTACTAAAATAAATAATCCACTTTAATGTTAATAATTTAATGATGATATAATCAAATAAATGATCGTTTTGTAATGTTATTATAGTTTTTGAAAATCACTGCCTGAAAATGTTCATTAAATTTTTTAAAAAAATTATCAGATCTTGTTTAATTTTGCTTTATTTTTACGCAAAATTAAGTTAATAAATTTTGTGCTTAGAGTTTTTACCGTTTTACCAAAGTAAAGATGTTTGTACAAGAATTAAGCGTGGAAAAAAAATGCGCGAAATGCAGTAAAAACTGCTTTAATGAGATATATTAAATCCTATTTGAAAAAAACTGTGCCTTTCATAATCTTATCACTATACAACGTATCACAATTAATAATTAAAAACAGTTATGTGATACAAACGCCATAGGTTTCAGTGTTAAAGTAAACCACATCGTCCCTACTCTTTCTTGCGGACATGGCGGTGACGCGCGCCCGCCCACTGGGTTGGTCTATCTCTTATAAGGTCCATGGACTGAACTGAAAGAAGATAATAGTTTATGGGCAAAAATTCATTAGGTTTTAATGACCAGTAAATGATATGCATTTGTAATCCTGTGTGCTGACTACAGATTCTTTCTGTAGAATTTAATTTGGTGTAGCATTTTTGAAGGAAGAAGGAATAGGCTGAAATATCTTTGAGTTAGTAAATTAATTAAAATAATAACTGGTTTATTTTCAAAAATTAATATTCACATGTGTAATTGTCGCATTTAGCGAACAATATTTGCGCCGTTATTTGGTTGAAATTTAATGATTCAACATGTAATTAAAATTTTATGTAAGTTGTATTAATTATTCATTCAATATTATGTAATTCGAAAAGATTTTCTTTTGTTGAGTAGCAATACAGTTATCCCCCCCCGTTTTTCTAAGAATTTCAAGAATTAGATTTTACCCAGCTGCTAAATCACCTTATGTATGATACATGAAAAAGATATACTGCAGAATGAAATTCAAAATTAGGCTGACAGTGGTGTGTAGAAAAGCTCAGGGGGAGAATTCAGCACTACCTCCCCTTTATTTATATTTTATTTTATTATTTTATTATTTATTTATTTGTTTACTTATTATTTTGAGGGGACAAAAATTAGTGCATGCTGTAAACCAAAAATACTTAATTTAAAATAAGTGAAAATAAAGTAAGCAAATGATTAAGAAACAAAAGCAACAGAAATAAGGTCTTCTATGGGCAAAAACGAGAATCAAAAACTGCAAAAGGATGTTTAATGTATACACTGAATGAATGCTATTTATTCCATTTGCTTGCTTGTTTTGCAACTTTATGTTATGTGATGAGTTTGTATTTTTAGTACTCTTGTATTTCTGTTTTCTGACATGTCAAATGCATTTTTTATAATTTATTGCAAGATATTTAATAAGTTCTAAAATATTAATGTTATAAAAGGCTAATCGAAATACTTAAACTAATTAATCTAACCTACTAATCAATACTTAGGCTTATTAGCTTAAGCAAAGAATCGGGTAGTACTAATGTGCTATTTTGCTTAAATTGTGATTTTGCTACAGATTACAGTTCATCACCAGAAGTAATATCAGAAATAAATGACTTGAAATGATAAATGAAAATTTTATAGTGTTTTTAGTTTCTTAATGCGAAAAAATTTCAGCATTTTTCTATCAGTGAAATTTTGAGAGGCTTTGTTTTCAATGCTAAAAGTAGCAAAATGTTTTGGCAATTGGCAAAAAAAGTTGCCAGCAATCGTTTTGAAGATTTTCTCTATAGCTGATAATTGGGTGATTTCCTTTTTTCAGTGCTAAGGTCGGCAGTTTGAATGAAGAAATAAAATTCGAATGCAAGCATTAGCGAACTTAAAACACATAAATATCACAGCAGTTTAATTAATACATTCCGAGTGATAAAATAATGTATTTTTTGAGCTCAGCTCAGCATATCTAAAATATTAGCATATTTTAGATTTTAGATATGCTGGTACGATTTAATGTGATGTTTGGCGAAATTCAATAATTTCAATATACCTTAAGAGACAGACGAAATAATTTCAGTACATATTAAAATGTTGCTTTGATAGATACTGCAGTAACTAATGCAGTTTGATATGCAGTCAAAAGTCTTTAATCCAGACGTCCATAATACGGACCTCAAAGCTGCAAACTTTCTGCGCGTGCGTAAACGCATAATGCCTTTACGCATGCGCGTTTAATGTATTACGGAAGGTATAGGCTAAGCTAAAATTATCCAATTATCTATTTCAGTTAATGTTGAAGATTGCGTTGTTCCTTAATCTTCTAATTGGATCCGGCTTATTATTTTTTCCAGACAGTTAGAGCAATTTTATAAAAGTAAGCTTGAACTTTCGATTTATGTCAAAAAGAATTTCCGATTCTGGAGCTGCCAAAGGATCTTAGCAAAGCGAAAGCATGTTTCGATGTCCATCAAACAAAAAGTGGAATTGCTGCAAAAAATGGATAAAGGCATATCCTTTGTTTCTATAACTATTCCGAAATCTGTTTATCAATTTCAGGCTGCTTTTTTTTGGGGGGGGGGGTGGAACGTCGCGGCGCGCAATGAACTGGAAGTTGATCTGTCAGCGTCAGCACTATCCTTATCTTCAGGGCAGATGTTTTTTATTTTATTCGGCTTATAATTCCTTACTAAATGTTGTATTTCATCTTGATGTACTCCGTCTTTGATATGATTTAAATCAAATTCGTCGTCATTATAAATATCACTAATACACATCAAATAGTTTTCTGGTTGCAATTTTCTCTACGAGTAATTTCGACTATGCGTAATGTATGCTTTACGCATGCGCGCGTTGAAAGAAATGTTTAATAAAGTAAATAAATAAATATTAAGCTTTTTTTTTTTTTGTAAATTTTGATACCCTCTACATCATAATTGCTCTTTATTTCATAAATTACGGTTTCATATTTTTAATTTTATAATTTCTGCATGCCATCTTACCAGATTTAAACTGATGATCTATAATCCGAAAAAACCGATAATCTGGAATCGCCGAAGTCCCGACGAGTCCGGATTAAAGACTTTTGACTGTATAATGTTTTCATTAAGTACAGAATTTGAAAAAAAAATTATTTTCTAATAGTTAATCATTTTGACGCGCCTATAAATAGTGAACAAGTCCTGGCATAACTTTGCAAAATAATAATAATAATAGTTACCACATAAGCCTTTTTGCGGTTTCTCAAAGGTCTCAAAGGTTTTGGTTGGTTTCTCAAAGGTGCTTCTAATGGAAAGTACCAACATTTCATTAAAATCTTATAATATTTAGTTAGTTATATATATCTTATATAGTTAGTTAATCAGAAAGTATCTTTAATTTTAGGTTTGATGGCAAGTGAAAATGACAGGCATCTTTATTTCCGAAATACGTCTCTTACTTTATGGTTTTGCAGTTATAACATTTTATCTGACATCATCTAATTATGAAAACCTTCTTGAAAGAGGAAGATATATTACCTTCTGTACGAACAACTTGTACTGGATCTAGGCAACCACTAAAGTTGTTGCAAGATTTTCAAAACTGCCATAGTTTTACAATGTCATTAAAATGTGGTGCTTCTACAGTTCGCAGATCTAATTCACCTAGGCAAAAAACTGGATTATATTCCAGAGAACCATCTCATGACTTCAGAACTAGGACTCCTAATGTTAGTTCTGGCCAAAGCACAAATGCAAGAACCTCAGCAAATATCAAAACTGTAACAAAATCTGGAACTTCGGTGCATAAGAAACAAGAAATGCATCCTGATGCAAAAATTAAAGTTTCAGACTCTACAAGTAGTACTTCAAGTTCTGTTGGAAGCCTGACATCATCTCCAAAGTGGTCTCATATTAAAAATAAATTTGAAAATTTTGACACCATTGAGAACACTAAATCTAATAAAAGTGTTTCATTATCTAAAGAAGATAGAAATAAATTAAAATCTTCAACATCAAAAAATTTAACTTCAGTTCATAATATTAATTTGGGTGAATCCAAGACCAAACATTCTATTTTTAAAATAGACAATGAGAGGAAGGTTGCCAGTATGTCTTCCACTAAATCTGATACAGCTTCAGTTTCATCTTTATTGAAAATGAATAATGATAAGTCTAAACTATATACTTCAAATTTAAAGAATTTTCAGAAGGAAAAAGCTAAGTCAAAAACTTCACCCAAAAGTTCTCAAGTGAATTTGCCATCAGTAAATGAAACTTCTGTGCAGTTAACTAGTTCTCCCAATGTTGTGGACAGTGATTCATTATCAAAGAGTACAAAGACTTCTCGCTTAAGTATCCAACCAAATTCATCAGCTTTACATTCCACCAATTCCATTTGGTATTCGCATTTTAAACCGCCAACTTCAAGTGTGTTGGCTGTAAAGTCAAATTCTCATAAAAGTTCTCATGTGAGCATTCCATCTGCTTCCTCTTCAAATTCCAGTGGTTCACCTAAAAGCTCATTATTAAACATTCCAGTTGTAAACGATCCAGTTTCAAGTAACATGCTGAAGAATTCGTATGTAAACATGCCATTAACAAATACATCAGCTCTGCATACATCAGTAATATCTAAAAAATACATTACTTCTACAAAATTGAATGCAAAAGCAAAACAAAAATTTGAAGATAAACCAATATTAAATGTAAATTCAAATAAAATTTTGTGTGATAAAGATGAAGAGAAATCGACTAAACGTAAAGGAGTCTCTAAAACATTTACTCAAATAGATCAGCCACCTATGAATAATGCCACAAACAAAACTTCTAAACTTTCTGCCCAAACTGCTAAACCTAATGGGGTCAATACAGGCAGCATTATACAAAGATCTGAAAATGCAGAACAAATTAAAGAATTAGTGAAACGATCTCAGCCCTCATCAAAAACTGTTTGGGTCAAAGACAGTTGTGGGAACTGGACTAAAAAGTCAAATCCAGAATCAAAACCAATAAGTAATTCTAAAGTTGCCTCTTTGAGAAATAAATTTCTGGAATCAAATAAAGGAGGAGGTCAGCCATTAACTAAATCAGTTACAACATCTGACGTCCCCAATAAAACAGTCGAACAAACTAACCGTCCATTAGCAAAATCAAGTACAACCAGCAGCATTTGTGACAAAACATGTTTTGATGGCTTTGGGAGTAAAGTTAGTGCAGTTAACAATGAACAGTTGAATAAAAATAACTTTTCAAATTGTGCTGAAGGTTGTGAACTTTTGTTCGAGAATTCAGCTTGCACAAATGAGGAAATAAAGGATGAGTGTTCCAAACCAGGTGAAAACATCCCTAAACTGAGTATTGTTCAACGAGCAGTTCTTAGTTTTGAAGGCAGTTTAGCTTTGCTTTCACCTGAAACACAAAAAAGACTGAAGCTTGTGAGTGAAAAAGTTCGAGCACAGACTGATGATGATAAATTATTGCAAGCTAAAGCTAAAAATGAAGGTAAATATCAAAGCAGCATTGAAAAAAGGTTAAATTCTCAGACTGCGAGTAAGCATTCTTTAACAGGTGAAACTGTTTTAAACAAAAACAATCTTAAGAATAAATCAAATGATTTAAATATTGAATCAAAAGTTAAAAATACTGAAGATATAAAATCAAAAGGTGGTTTAGTGAAGAAACTTAATACTTCATCAACAAAACCTTCAAAAGATTCTTCAGATTGTGTAGCTGATAAATTAGGGCGTAGCAATAACGTAGCTCCTAGTCTTAGCCAACGAACAAACATGACTTTAAATCTAACTATGGAACACCTTAACATGAAGTCATCAAATCATGTTAATGATTATTCACTGCAGCCTAATAATTCATTTCTGTGGCGGCGCTCAGAAGCTGCAAGTGAACTTTCAAAAAGCAGCACCAATTCAAGTGTTTCTTTAACGAGTTCAGATTACAGAAACTATTATGATGTTGAAAATTATTACTCTTCTTTGGAATTAGAAATAGAGAAAGATGGTGAAGAGCACATTTATATTGACTCCCAAGGTTCTTCTAGCAGTGGGAACTATGGATCAAGTACTCGATCTTATGAAAATGTCCATCCTACTGTTGATGTTAAAAACAGTAAGTAATTTTCCCCATATAACATAAGTACATATATTTTATCTTAACTATATATTCCTCTGAAATGAATTGTGTATGTATTGGAATTCAATGATTTATGTATCATACAAGCTATAGAAATCTTATGACTATAAAAAAGTTTCATTTTATCAGTATTTTTTAATGATAGCAAAGTCCAAGAAAAATGGTGTTTAGTGAATTATTTTTTGTGTTGTGTCATTTTCTTTTTAGCATTTTAGTTGTATTTAGAGTTTTCTCACTGTACATGATAAAAGTTTTGCCTGTAAATGTAATATATTTGTTTTACAATAAGTGAAGTAGATAAATAGTAGACCTAAACATTCTGTTGAAGGAGATTTGAGTATATGGGACACCTACAGGAAAGCAAACTTTTTATTTAAAATTGCTTATGTAAACTTAATCAACAAAATATTATGCAAAGTGTTCAAATAATTGCAGCAACTTAACTTGGCATCAAGTCAATGCAGTCTTGATGGAATATATTAAAATAAGCGCATTTTGTTCCTCTTCATAATAGAGCCATATTTCTGGGATGGAATTACTAGAAATTTATATAATGCCTCACAAGTGCCAAATAAACAATCATAGACATTAGTTGAGCACCTAGAAATCAGTTGTGCTTATTGAGCCAGTTCTGTATCAAGCATGCCTGGTGGAAATTTGCATTACTATACCAGTACAACCATCATCGCAGGTGAGTGTGTCATTTATAAAATGGTGCAACTGATCTGCAATGATATGTGTGTCTGTTATTCCCCTCTTTCTGATTACCCACACCTCATCAAAAAAGTGCAAACTAGCTACTGACTTTGGAAAGACACTTTTGTGTGTGTATCTTTACCCATCTGTTTAAATGATGCATCCAGTGATGCCTACTTTTTTACATTTTTCTTTTTCTACAGAAAGCATGCATACCTCTTGATTTTTTTTTTTTTTTCCACTATTGAATGTACAGCTACATTTGTCTGCTAGTTTCATCTTTCTATCTATGCAATAAACCTCTCCAATAAAGCATATGATATATATATATATAAGTAAATTAAAAAGTAAATTCTTTCAGCTAATGAATTGCAATAAATTGCCTAATACTTGCACAAAAGCTGCAAAGTAATAAAAGAATTATTTTAAAATAATTTATCTTCTAATAGATTATTTAGTATATTATCTCCATTAACAAAAGTAGTTTCTTACTAAAAAGCTTTTTTTCTCATAATAATTCTTACTTGATTAAAAAAAAAAAAAAAAAAGATGAAACACTTTCGCATTTATTAATTGTTGTTAATTGATCAGAAGTTAGTTTGTTTCCCTTGAAAAGTCAACTAATTTCCCGTCAATGATGATAATTACTTGTAATTACTTGGTTTATTGATTACATTTTCACTTTTAATTGTACCTTTTTAAAGTTTCCATCATAAATTTATTTAAGCATAGATAGATTTTATTCTAGATTCATTTTTGATGTTTCCATTTTAAATTTATTCAAGTTTCAATTTTTAAACATGCTAATGAGTTACTTCATTTCAATAGAATTCTAACTACTTTTGTCAATGGTGATAATATGATAAATAATCTATTAGAAAATAAATTATATATATAGTATACAAGTAAAATAAAAATATATAAAGAAAACCTCTGATTGGCAACAGCCCTTTTATTCTTCATTTTAATTTGGGTAGTTCTTAAAAATAGTAACTATTTACAATATATCAAACTAAACTGTTTCGTATCAAAATTAATCCGTATTATACGATCTTACATAATGCTGGAATGCAAATATCTTTTAACCAATCTCTTAATAAGATTTCAACAGAAACCAAAACTTTTTGACTGTCTCCCATGCATCTTCTGAGCAGTCACTTTACTTTTCCACTTGCTTCACTCTTGCTAACATGCATAGTGGCTCACTTTTGTCTATATTATCCATTGTCTTAATACGTGCTAGCTTCCAACAATGTGGGGTTTGTAATGTGCTCATAATGATGTGTGAATCGGAATATGCAGTTCAAAGATTAGTCCAGAAAATGTTGCATGTATGGTTGAGTTTGTCCTAGTTGTATTCTTCTATCTGCACATTAAACTTAATGAATATATTATATATATATATATATAAGCAATCTGCATGGCATCATCAGCTTGCAGAACATTTGCTGACAAATCAGGATTATAATCTTATGCAGTCTTCTGCCTGTATAAATATGTCCATCTACTTGAAATAGCTGAAAATGGAATTTATTTAATCAGGCCACATGATGTCAGTTTTCAGCAATGCAAAGATATTGGTCTTTGATAAGGCAGATTGCCAAAAGTCGGGGTATAAGTAGTGTGATTTATATTGCCTTGATGACTGCCAAGCTAAATGGAGTGCAGGATATATTGTGCAGATGGTGTTTACATATTTTTAGAGCGATTTCAGGGTCGTTTGTTTAATGTTTAAAATGTAAAGAGTACTTTTTTTAATGTTCGATGGGATAGCTTTACTTTTTCTGTATTATAAGTCTGCATAATGGTTTCTCAGAGAGATGGCTTTTTGTAAAATTTTAATGGCTATTGATTTCTGTTTCTTCTCAGAGTCCATCAATCATGATGGATTTGTGCTTAGAAAAAGCTCTTTATCAGAGACCAGATGCACAATAGTCTATAGGTGAAACATTGAGCAACTTCTCAAGAATCTTTTGAAAAGGTATACATGCCGTATCTGTAAAAGTCTTAATTTTTTCAAGTGATGCGATAGTACTTTTTGAAGTATGACTTGTTTGTTTGTCTTGATGAAGTTTCACTCTTTGAAGTCAGTGAGATAAAGAAATGAAATTTTTTCTGTAAATATCAGACCAAAAACTTTCTATTGATAGTAGTTTAAGTTGAATTTAATATTGTTTTCACTCTTATTTTTAATTTCCCATTGTAAGAAAATCCTGCAACAGTTGTAAAACCTTTGGTAGAACTTTCTTTGTATTGACGAAACTAGGTTCCTACATTTTTCCCCCTTAATTTTCGATAATAAATAGACCTCTTTTTTTGTTCTTGTTACAATTATTCAGGTAAACCCATACTTTATCAGGGAGACCACAATGCATTTCTGCTTATCTTAAGTTATAAATCTTGGTTTATTATTTTATTTATTGTTGCTGCAGATATATTTAAAGACTGCAATTGATTTCTGTAGGGACTTTTTTTTTAGCATTTGAAACAGTACATACTTTTCTGGGTATTTGTTTGGAATTTTCTTCCCATGTAGAAGAAATGACCAATGGTTTTGCCCTTTCCAATTAATAATGCTTATTTTGCACTTAGAAATTTTAATACTTGCATTCACAAAGTTTTTGAATTATGAAATAGGAATATTTCTCCTCATATAACATTACAACATATCCTTCAAGCCATAGATTATTTACATATGACAGTTCGGAAGAAGAATAAATTTAAAAGTAGCAAGTAGAAAACTGTATTTCTCATTTAAAATAATACGCCGTTGCCAGAAATTTTCGTGCTCTTCTGTTATCCATACCAAAAATTTTGTTCCAAAGCATTTCCATTTTTTAATTCTTTTAATAAAAATTTTAATTTGTTAATACCCTTTGTATATTCAGTTAATTAATGGCTTGAGCATCACATTATTGAATCAGAGTATGTTTTCACCATTCCTGGTTTTGGGGTCACTTACCTTTTTCATCAAGTCGTGTTCTTGCACTATGTGCCAAATTCCTACTCTATACAGATGTTGCTTATGTTTGTTTTAAATTTACATACTTCCTTTATCTAGAGCATTCTGTACATCAGACATAAAATATGCCATTCTTGTTAAACTCATAATCAGCATGTCATCACATGGTAATAAATCTTGCACTTTTTACCTTAGCATTTCAAATCTTTACAAAAGCATTCACTATACAAAAGCAGGTATTTTAGCTGACATGTACTATTGCTAGTGACTCAACAAAGGTTTCTTTAAATAACTAGGCTAGATAAAGAGAAAACTTGAAATTTACTTTAACTATGAGATGATAATAGTTTCTATAGATAACAAAAAGGGCCTACTTAGTAAAGCATAGGTATAAAATATAAATGCATGAAACAAGTTATATTTGAAAAAGCTTGATAGTAAAAATAATTAATACTAATGAAATCATGAAACAATTACTCTGAAATAGTAACATCTAATTTTTTAAAATTCTTTCTTATATAAATATATGTGGTAGGGGAGGTGAAGATGCTTAGCTGGGGTCAATTAACAAGTCCAATGTATTCCACACCACAGAACATTTAATAAAACAACAGAAGAAGGTACATTAAATCGAGTCACAGTGCCGTTTGGTACAAACAGGATTCCGCATTATCACTTTTACCAATTTTATAGCATAGCAGCTTAGTGCCTACTCGCACTTGCTGTCGTATTATGCAGTTCAATTTTACCACCTTCCCGTGGAAACATACAGTTCATTATTTAACACCTTCACATGTAGACCTACGTCTTACCACCTTCTCGTGGAGACATCTTACCTTCATGTGGGATAGAAGACTCTGTCTATCTATCATACTCCTCTTTCACCTCGCTCTTGCTGCTGGTGCATAGATGAGGCTGTGTTGCACTTATGGATACCACATATATATATACAATACAAAGTCTTTAATTCAGACTCGTCGGGACTTTGGCGATTCCAGATTAGGGGTTTTTCCGGATTATAGATCATCAATTTAAATCTGGTAAGATGGCATGCAGAAATTATAAAATTAAAAATATGAAACCATAATTTATGAAATAAAGAGCAATTATGATCTAAAGGGTATCAAAATTAAAAAAAAAAAGCTTAATGTTTATTTGTTTACTTTATTAAACATTTCTTTCAATGCAAGTTGTTTAAGTTGCTTCATTTTATGTGCTAATACTTTCTCTTTAATTCTATAAACAGACATAATTTCTTGTTCAGTTGCAAAGTTCCGCTGTTCAAGTCCTGTAATTGCTGTGCTGAGAATACCGACTAACTTGTCAATCGAAATTTTTTCATTTTCACTAACCTCTCTGTCACTTTCTTCATGCCTCTATCCATTTTTTTGCAGCAATTCCACTTTTTGTTTGATGGACATCGAAACATGCTTTCGCTTTGTAGATCCTTTGGCAGCTCCAGAATCAGAAACTCTTTTTGACATAATCAAAAGTTCAAGCTTACTTTTTATAAAATTGCTCTAACAGTCTGCAAAAAATAATAAGCCGGATCCAATTAAAGGATTAAGGAACAACACATTAACTGAAATAGATAATTAAATAATTTTAGCCTAGCTTATACCGTACATTATACATTAAATGCGCATGCATAACTGCAACGCATGCGCAGAAAGTTTGTAGCTTTGAGGTCCGGATTATAGATCATTCCAGATTATGGACGTTCATATTAAATACTTTGTACTGTATATGCATTATTTATTAATCATGTATTAAACTGTTATTTATTTCAGGGAAAACTGATTCCTATGATGAATGGGCTGATATAAGTGATGATGATTATATGAAAAGTAGCTTGTCTACTAGCCAGAGCAGGTATTTATTTAAAAAAGCATTGTATTTTTTTTTTTTCATTAGATTAATTGGTTTTAAATATAATTCTTTACTGTGTGCTTACAATTTTGGAGGATATTGTACAGTTGCTTTCTTATAAGATATGTGATTTCTTAAATTATTGGAATTTTTATTCACTGAATGAATACACAATGCTTCCTCATTATAATGTGAAAAATGGAAACAGAAATCAAGTACTTCTTAAAAAGGCCACCTGTATTATACTAGTACTATCTAATTAAAAAAATTGAGTAGTTACATAGACTTTATATTTTGTAACTAACTTTTATGCATTTGAATTTGTAAATAATATTAGTAAAATAAAATAAACAAAGTAGAAAGACAAAGTACAGTTATACAGAATTATCAGTATACATAATTTTATTGATGTATTATGTGAATTAGAATCACATCATATATTTTTTATAAAATTAATTTCATAAAAGTATTTTTCAAGTTTTTAGCTCTTATTTGATTTTTATATTTTTCTGTAAAATTTTGACTGTAAATTATTTTAAAGTTTATAAAAGCGAAAGCTCCATTTTCAGTTATTAGAGTACAAGAAGCTAAGCATGTAGTTTTGAGATTGTTTTTCATAAGACTCTAAAGCTTAAGAATCTCTGTTTCCTACTGGAGTATGTTGTTTCAGAACTACATTATTGTACCATAGTTCTTAGGCAACTGATACCTAGTATCCAAAAATGTAGTTTATCATGCCATAAATGTTGTGTATTGTTTATGTCAAGATTTAGTACTGAATTTCGCTCAGAGTTCAATTAATTAAATTCTGGTATTTTCACAGAGGAATATATTTCTAGCTAATATTTATTCCTATAGTAAAGAATTTCTTTTTATTGCAGCACTTTAAAAAAAAGAAAGAATAAGCGTGTATCAACCCATAAGGTTAATTATTCAAATACTTCCAAATCAGCTGATTCAAGAAAGCCTATGCTGAATGACACCATTTCATTTACTGATTCTAGTGACACATTAATTAATGATGAGGTATGGCTTGTATTTATCGTATGTAATATAAATTTTAATTAATGTTAGCTTTGTAAAATATGTTTTTTTTTTTTTTTTTTTTTTTTTTTTTTTTTTTTTTAAATTTCAAAAATAAAAATGAAGAGATTTTTTTCAATAATTTGCTTCTTTTAATTTGTTATGTATCTAGTGTATTTCTTTGATTCTAAAAGCTCTTTTTCCTGATATTCATATTATTGAAAACAGAATGCAATTTCAAATGCATTTCATTTTAGAATTGCAGGTATTTCTGAATGTCTAATTATTGCAAGTGATTAATTTTCTAAAATACTATTAATTTAAATAATTACAACTATTATTATTAATGAAAAACACAGTTATTAAATAATATTTATTAGATGTATTTGTGCATTTTATTTCATTTATTTTGTCTGCTTAAAATCAAAAATCTTTCTTTTCTGTGTGTAGTAATAAAACTGAGAATTATGTCTTAAAATCAAACTACAGTACATACTATATCATATATGATTTCTTGCAATTCAGCTTAACATTAATTCTGCTGTAGTTATTAATGTAAATTAAAAAGTGAAATTTTTCATAAATAAAAAATTATTTAAAGTCTAATCAGATTGAGTTGATTATACTGATTAAAATATAATCAATCATCCCTCTTTTTGAATTTTTAATGACTTCAGTGTGTTTTTAATTTTTTTACCATGAAATTACTGTCAGTTAAACATAGAATAGATTACTGTTCTTATTTTTAATAAATGATGTAACTAAGTTATATTGAGATATGAATTAAAGTACAGTTTTATCATTTTTAATTACTAATTATTTTATTTTTGATCTTTTCTATCTCTTCCCCTTTTGTTTTTGTTTGTTTAGGTTGCAAATGAAAGCACATTTGATCTAGCTGATGCAAATCATTTTTATGAGCCAGTATATGAAAGCCTGGGTAATTATTTATTGGAAAAGAATGAGCATGATGATGCAGAGAAAGGTGAACAAGATGATGAAAACTGCAGTATTTCTTTATCACCCGACGATGGTGATAATGCTGATTTTATGCACTGTTCTCTTACAAGCTTAGAATCTGCAGAAAGCAGTAAACTAGAAAAAGAACAAATATGTGATTTGGCACTTGCGTCAGATAATTCAAACGCTGTTAAAAAACCTGGAAATAAAATTAGTCAACTTAAAAGACATCTGTCGTGGACCAAAAATGACATTCGTTTGGAACTTTCATCCAAATTTAATAAAATCAAAATTAAAAAGAACGGACAAAATTCTACTGAGATTGGTGTAAAGGTCCAAGAACATGAATCAATAAATACTTCTCCAAAGAAAAAAACTTTTATTAAATGCATTTTAAGACAAAAGAGTTCAAGTAGCATACCTTTAAAAAGATCTCCATCACCTAAAAAAGAAAGTGCTCATTTTTATGTTCATTTGTCAATGGGTCGAGAAAAGCAGCGACCATTTAGTGACTCTGTTGTAGCAGATGAAAGTCTGAAGTCTTCCAGAAATGGTTTGCAGCAATTACGAAAGCAATCAGAGCCATCACTGCCACTTACTACTAATGATATTAAATGTTCCCAACAACGTCCACGCGTGAGAAAGATTTCAAATGCTCCTGCTATCCAACGTCCCAAAACACCTCCTCCATTGCCTCCTATGCAAATAATAAATACAAAAATTGTTTCATCTAGTTACACTAAAGTATCTGAAAAAGAACAAAATAGCATTTCATGTAATTCAACATATGGCTGTTCTGATAATACAGACTCACCATTATATACTGCTTTGGATCCAGATCTGGTTGATTCAGGTATATATTATATTTTTCTGTTTATTATTGTTCTGAGACAGTTGTTACATGATCAGAATATTATACATCATTTTGAAAAGTTAATTTGATTATAAATTCGAATCTTTCAATAGGAATTAAGTACCAGTTATACAAGTAAAGTTATAAGAATAGGTGTGCAACTGAAGAAACATAATTTGTATATATTTATATAAAATTACTGAAAAATTGTACTGGGATTTGTAGAAACGTAATTTCAAGTATCTTTCAGTTTTCATAAGGAATGCAGTATAGGGCAAATTTTGATAAACAATGAGTAACTTTAATTAAATACCTAAATCTCCATTGTTTATTTATTTATTATTAGACACTGTGATTTTTATGACTTACAGCTAATTTCCCTTTTAATTTTTTAAATTTTCCTTAACAAAAAATATAATAGAGTTCACAATATTTTAAATATCATACAGTGACTTAACATAAGCAGCTGATGGAGGATTTTAGACCACCACTGTGTTTGTATACAGTATTTAATTTACTGCAGGAAGGCATAAACAAGGATTGTTATCAAAAGAGCAACATTTATTTGGGCATTTATATACAATATTCCTGTACAGAAACTCTGTTTTCCCATATAGTTGTTAAGGAATTTGTCTTAGTGTTGAGCAATGGTTTTTTTTGGGGGGGGGGAAGATGAAGTGCAAGAACTCAAACGTAATGTTTAACATTTTCCCCCAGTAATTCCTTAGTAATTGCACAGTTTTCAACAAAGCAGTTAAAGAAGTGTCTATTATTTTTCAAGAAAAGTGTTTAAAAATAAATGTATGACCAATACATGTACTCATTTTTAATTTTTTTTGGCTTGAAATCAAGGGTACTGCTATCTGGTGTGTAAAAAAGGAAATACAGATGTTTCCGGTGTTTAAGAAATGGATTGTTTGTAAATTTTTTTGTGCACATCTTTTGAACATTCCATCCTGGAGTCAAAAGTCTTTAATCCGGAATCGTCGGGACTTCGGCTATTCCGGATTATAGATCATCAATTTAAATCTGGTAAGATGGCAGGCAGAAATTATAAAATTAAAAATATAAAACCGTAATTAATGAAATAAAGAGCAATTATGATGTAAAGGGTAACAAACTAAAAAAAAAAAAAAAAAAAAAAAAAAAAAAAAAGCTTAATATTGATTTGTTTATTAAACATTTCTTTCAACGCGCGCATGCGTAAAGCATACATTACGCATAGTGGAAATTAGAAAATTGCAACCAGAAAACTATTTGATATGTATTCGTGATATTTATAATGATGAGGAACTTGATTTAAATCATATCAAAGACGGAGTATATCGAGATGAAATACTACATTTAGTAAGGAATTATAAGCCAAATAAAATAAAAGTATCTGCCCTGAAGATAAGGGTAGTGCTGACAGATCAACTTCCAGTTCATTGTGCGCCGCAACTTCCCCACCCCCCACAGAGCAACGTGAAATTGATAAACAGATTTCAAAATAGTTATAGAAACAAAGGATCCATTTTTTTGCAGCAATTCCACTTTTTGTTTGATGGACATTGAAACATGCTTTTGCTTTGTAGATCCTTTGGCAGCTCCAGAATCAGAAATTCTTTTTTACATAATCGAAAGTTCAAGCTTACTTGTATAAATTGCTCTAACAGTCTTCAAAAAATAATAAGCTGGATCCAATAAGAAGATTAAGGAACAACACAATCTGCAACATTAACTGAAATAGATAATTAGATAATTTTAGCTTAGCTTATACTGTCCATTATACATTAAACGCGCATGCGTAAATGTATTATGCACATGCGTAAATGCATATGTGCATGCATAAGCGTATTATGCGCATGCGTAAATGCAGTATGCGTTTACGCATGCGCAGAAAATCTGTAGCTTTGAGGTCCGTATTATAGATCATTCCGGATTAAAGACTTTTGACTGTATCCATGTCACAAGGAATGCAAGAAATAGAAATAATAATTTTGAAAATGGGAGTTATTTTGATACTAGCAAGAAGGAAGGGGTTAAGCTATCCATCATTTCTGAAGTAATATGTCATTTATTGCTAAGATTTTTGTAGGATCCGTTATTATTAGCAATGAGGCATGGGTTGATGATGGCTATCAAAATTAAAGCTTCTGTGCATAGAGGGAAAATATTTGAGTTGTCCGCAACAAGAAACTTCATTTAAGTGGGGCATTTGCTGCCAAAGCATTGGTTGCTATGTTTTCAGATTGAGGGACATGCTTTAGTTTTATTGAAATTAGGGTTATAGAGCTTAGGACAGTGCAAATGACACATTTACAAGCAATCATTAAATGTAGCATTGGACTGTTTATAAACTATTTGTTACTGCTATATGATAATGCTTACTAATTTACTCATAGATGATTTTTTGATTTAATAATTCTTAGTACATTATCAATGAGAGGCTTTGGTCTGTAATCAGTGTAAAGCTTAGTGTTGCCGTATATGTGTTTCTTCTCTTCTCAGTTCTCAGTGCACATCTTGATTGGGAGTGAAATTAGTTTTCATCTTGGTAGCTTTGAAAGTGAAGATGTTGAAACAGCACTGATAACAAGAATACCAACTCAGTAATCAGGCATCATATTTTTTACAAACTGAGTGTGTTGTAAAACTTGTTCCAGCATGTAGATAAAGGCTTCAGTTGTGAGTTGTTCACAAAGACAATTCTTTCAGTTGGTCATAAAAGATATCCATCACAGAACGCAGTGCACAGTGTATGTTTAAATAAATAATAAAAATGGTAAAAGTAAGGTGTTCATCATAGTGAGCAATATGTCATAAATATGTCATAGTCATAGTGAGCAATATGTCATATAGTCTAAAAAATTTTTCTTTTGAAATAAAATCTGTATGAATTAATATTAGGAATATTTTTCATGTATTATAAATATAGCTATGGCAGTGGTTCTCAACCCTTTTTGCCTCATGTATTCTATTCACCACCATTCACCACTGCTAGAAGATCACCCCCCTTTCCCAACTTGAAAAATACATATATACATTTATTTAGATTTAGATTATTTTGTAGCATGCCATGTAAGTTGAACAACAAAAAATAAGAAAATTTTGTTAAATAACAAAATTTGCATAAAAAGTAGTTTTTATATTCATAATTAAAATTAATAAATTTTTATAATCATAAATTAAAACTAAGTACTTACCAGCTGAATAAAAAGCAGATCGTTTTCCCCACTCGAAACTATAAAAGTTCCTCTGGTCAAGATCCTCTGAGCTATAGTGTATATTTCGTGTATACAAGTATATATAAATTTTGGTTTATTGTATTTGCAGAAAATGTACAGATCAAGAAAGTGTAATGTATTATAGTGTTGAACAAATATTGAAATAATATTGCTTGACTTTGTTATATAAGTATTATGTTTATTCTTATTCATTTTAATAAGCTAAACTGCATTCTGTAATAATCTACGGAAAGTAGAATTGTTTATATTTCATTGTTCTATATATAATTTTTTAGAATTTGCAAATGAGAGTGTGAAACCGAGTTCTTTCTTTTACTCTTTTAAGCAAAGATTTTATATAAGCAGATTTTAAATCAAATGAGAAATATATTCTAAATAACAATAAAATAATTAATTGAATTTCACTTGTGACAGATGAGATATTTGGATAGTTCTTTGCAGATAAATAATGTACTAAAAATGTTGATAACCTTTGCAGCTAACAGCAAAGTTTCTGCAGATTATGAAAATGATGTATTCAAGAATATAAGGTAATAATTGCATGCTATTATTAAGTTTCTGTTTGTTTGATTTGATCTATTTTCAGAATAATGCATATATAAATTAACTGTAATATTTTTTGTATCCTATTTTAAATTTCAGAACTTCTAATGATCCTTCTTTGGAAGACTTACTTTATGCTGATGAACAAAGCTCAGCCTCAAACACTGGGGCTACCTCCCTAACAACATATGATTGTTTTAATTTGCCTTTTTTGCCTGCATTTCAGTCAGAGGTATTTATACTTAACTTTCTCTTTAACTTTTGTATTTCTGTTCACATAGATTAATACGCTATTAGTGTGAAAAGGAGTATATAATAATTTTATTTAAAATATAGCAGATTATAGCATAAAAATTTTATTTTTGCAGTTATCTGGTATTTTTAGTACTTTTCAATTTGATAAAATTTATTTTGGTAATTCTAATGCTGATTATTTTTAAATATGAGAAAAATATTTTCATATCATGCCTTCATTTTTTTAATTTGTGGGCAGATATTTGAAAGTTTTATGACATTTAAATTTTTATAGTTATTAAAATCCCCCTTTGAGGAAGAGCCAATGTACCAGTTTTATCATAAAGATGTTCAACAAAGGGCAACACTTTGGTATTCTGCAGATGGCTCTGAATCTGAATATGAAGATGATAATTTAAGTAAGTTGTCTGACAGCGATATGCATAACCATTCAAAACCACCTGTATTACAGTCACAAATGTCTGCAATGGATTTGGTACATGGTGAAGGTGGACAGCGAACACTTTGGTGTGAAGTTCCTGAAGTAAGTTATATCTGGCACTTGTTATTTACAAGAATATATGCTTTATTCTGTTGCTAATAAGATTTGTATCTAATTGATTTCATATTAAAATAATAAGGAAATTTTCCATTTTGATTTAGTTTCTTTGCTATTGTTGTTAATGTTTTAATTGCTTTTTAACAGGATGTGATTTATTTGATTTTGTAGTTCTCCTTTTTTATCATTCATCCTGCAGTTATCTATGAAGTGATACTTTGGAATTTTAAATAATTTTGTTTGTAGCAAATTAAAATTTTTTTAAAAAATTAATTTTAATGAAATTAAAAAAAAATTAATTAACAAAAAAGGATTTGAGAGTTTTCAAGCAGTCTTTTGCAGCATTTTATGAAGGATTCCCCCCCCTAAGATGGTTAAAGAACTAAGGAAACTCTTGCATGACCTGGCTTTCCTGCAGTACATTTCAAGAACTGTGTTGCCAGTTTAACTTTAATACGAACTTTATCAGCAGAAGGCTTCAAAAAGGCAAAACAAATTTATATCATTAAAATTAAACCTGCTGAGATAAAATAAAATATTTCTTCAAATAACTAATAAAATATTAATTGTTGGAAATTTTTTTAGTTTAATATAATTTTTGTATAAATAATATTAATATTTAAAAAAATAAAAAAAAAAAAGTATGAATTCTCTAATCTCATCCCAATTTTTAGCCTAAAAAATCATGCAATAAAGCTGATTCATAACAAAAACTGTTCTTATTTTAAAATACAAATTCTATCTAAATGCAAAATGCAAATTGTGAGAGAAAATTTCATAACATATTAACAGATTTAAAAAGAGCTCTCAAGAATGTTCAGATAAGGAAAAAACAAGAGACTCTTTTTAAGAAAGGAGACACAGATATCAATCATGCACTGTAAGAGGTCTCCTCTAGATGTATTTAAAGGTTTTGGCAGGCATTTAAGTTAACATTTGAACTCTTCCTTTTTGTTACATTGAAAAACAAAAGTCATACATTTTGGGGATGTGAATTATTTTACTTTTATCATTAAATATAATAATTTATCAACATTGTGAGGAAAAAAGAATCATGATGATTTTTTTTGTTTGTTTTATGAATTTCATGATGATTGTTATTACAATATCATTAAAATGACAATAATATTTTTTAAAGTATGTTTTTTAGAAAAATAACTTTAAAATCAAAGATTTTTATTTCCTTTTGTCATGTTTTAAAATATATTTATTTTGCTAGTTTTTGAATGTTGTGCTTTTGAAATTTCAAATTGATAATAAATGTTATGAAACACATAAAAGTACTTTTTAGTAAAAACAAAAAAGCTGCTTAATTATGCTAAAATTAATTTTAGTTGTGTAATCTTTTATTCCTCATGTTAAATGCTTTTCCTCATGTAATGTTTCAGAATATTTAATTGTGTCAGTTTTAAAGGTATTTTTCACTTTATACTTTTCTCTGAATTATTCTGAAAATTCTTCCAGTGTATATAAAGTCAGGAAGTTGGCAGACTTACATGTTGTTTAAGTGAAGTTAGATTTTCATGCAAATTGAATGAGTTTTACCATGTAAGGAAGAACTATCTGGTTTTCACCTAGTCCAGTTATATCCTGTAGCTATTTCTCATGGTCATATTTTACATCAATGAAAAAATTAATGGAACAAATAATAAGCTATAAAAACTCACATAACTTGAATGATTTTAAAGCTAGAGAACATGGAACATGCACAATATCTTTGTCATGCCTGGCATGTTTTCAAAATGAAAAATTGTGCAAAAAATAAAATTAAATAAGAATATAGGAAATGTGATATAAAATGGATTAGGGAAAAGATGGTGTTATGAAGATATATAGAAAAATTTAATGAGGGAATGTGTTCATCTCTGATCGAAATGCAATTTTACAATGATTTTCCATGCTGTGTATTCAGATTGTCCAGAGTTCCTGTAGTAAAAGAATGTGTTTATGATGAATAGTGCCTTGAAGCTGTTGGAGAGTGCTAGATGAGGGCTGCAGTAATGAAAGTTGATATCCCTATGATATCCCTAGTGCATCTAGCACCTGTTCTATTGGTTTAAAAGTCAGAGAATATCCATGTCACTCTATGCATTGGACTTTTTCACCATCAAAATAACTAGTCACTGAGGCAGCATGAGGGAGTGTTTTATTATCCATTAGAAGCAAGTTACTACCAACTGCACCCCTAAAATGTTAATATAAGGATCAATAACATCAGTTCTGTATATTTTAACATTCATAGTTGCAATGGTAAAAATACAACCATACATATTGATGTGCTGAATGGCCACACTGAGCTACACAAAAATGTGTAGGTCAGTGTAGCCATTCAAAATGACATCCATGTTATTATTTTACCATCTTTGTAATTTGAACCTTTCATGGACGTCTTCAGGCTTGTTGCCTGAGTTTAACTCCCTATGTATTGTTTTAGAATCCCTCTCTAAATAAAACTGAGACATACTCCAGTTGGAATGATTCTGCACCATTGTAATCTGGTGCATTTCACAGCTTTAGGTGGACACAAATCATGGGTTTCTTTGCATTAAGTCCTCTTTTAAGCAGCCTGTTGACTTCCTATAGCTCCTTTGCTAGCTGCTTTCCTATAGGCTGATGTCAGATAGTCTGTTGTGGCGTGTTTTCAAACTTGTCCTGGTTCTTTGCTTATATCACGAGTATCTTTTTCTAGATTCTTGATTTGCTTTAGCTACATTTAGGTGTTTGCAGATCTATGTCAGTGCATTTCGTGCTTCCATTCTTACATTTGCATCTATTATATACAGTATGTGAGAAACTTTCCCAACGAAATATTCCACTTTCTACACAGGAAAATTTTATCCAGCTATTTTTAAAATCCTGGAAGTTAGAATATGAAGCACTCCCTTGTACTCTTTTCAAGATGTAACAAAACAATGGATAACAAAACTTCTGCATACTTCTGTGTAGCAAAGAGCAATCCTATTGGATTACATAATAATGCTGACCTTAAACTACCAATCAACTACTTTTCATTGGATTTCACATAATAGAATTAGGATAAGACATTTTTTTGTAGTTGTTCTTTAATTTTCCATACCATTATAGCTTGTGTTTATGAAAGCATTTTCGTGATATGTGAAAAAATTTGAAGTAAAATGTATTGATGCAGTAATTTTGAATTTGAATTATGGAGATGTACTTCGTGAGACAAACAAGTCTCTTATCAGAGATTAATATGGAGCATACACAAACAAGTAGTGAAACTGCTTTATGTGTCTTAAATTTAAAAAGAAAGAGAAATCACAGGAGATACGTCTTCATCAGATGTATAGAAATGAAATATTATATCTGTCATTGCAGAATGACTATTATGCAATTTCAAAATGTTTAACTATATAAAGTTAAGAAATACAGTCAAAAGTCTTTAATCCGGACGTCCATAATCTGGAATGATCTATAATCCGGACCTCAAAGCTACAAACTTTCTGCGCATAATACATTTATGCATGCGCGTTTAATGTATAACGGACGGTATAAGCTAAGCTAAAATTATCTAATTATCTATTTTAGTATTTTCTTTATAACCTAGTCTTTTGGGAAGAAAATCAGGGCTGATAGAAATCAGGACATTACAGAATAAACTCAAAAGATGAGCATATTTTTCTGGGGAAAAAATTCTTTAATTCAGTGATGTCTGGTAATCATATCCTTACAAAATGTAATGAAAAAAAAATTAATGTGCATTATTTAACATTAACATTTGGGTATTCTCTCCATAGGTGATCTACCTTACTTAACTGTATAGTTACTTTATGGATTAATAGATGGCGTCACTAACATTGTTTTTTAACATTTTTTTCTTCTGCCATTTTATTTAAAATTTGCATGATCAAATTTATTATTATTTGATATTAATTAATTTTTTATGTTTTGCAGAAAATTTATTTCTTTACTGTGTTTTATGCTGCGTATGAAGAAACTTTCAGTATGCGAATAAAAGGGTGAAATATTTTTTTCTTTAATTAGATTAGCTGGTTTAAATATTTCAATGAATTACTCAATATTAATATAACTAAAGGTGAGCCACTAAATATTATGAATATAGGTTATGTAAAGAATTTTGTGCATATAGTGAATGAAATAAATGAGAGTTAAGACAAAATACACCCGATTTTCTACTGTTATATTTAGTTGTTTCAAAATCTATGTGCAAACAATTTGTTGTAAGCAGAGTATTGAAAAAGAGAGTTAGTGGATTTAAGAGAGATAAATTAAACACTATTGCTGCTTAAGATAGCAATTGTTTCATTTGCTTCTTTTTTCAAATCTTTATAATGTAAACGTGAAAGTTATTTGAGAGTAAATTGATAACAAAGATTCGAAGACAGCATTTTAAAAACTCTTTGCAAATTCAATCAAAAATTGCATGTGAAAGAAATGATAAACAGAAACATTGCTTTTACAAACAAAATAGTCTGAAAAAGATGTGGCGCCATCTAGTATAAAACTGATTAACTAACTAACGGAAATCGGTAGATTGCCAATTGGGACAGTACCTACATTTGATCAATTATTGATGTTTTAATAAATTTCATTTTGAGCTAAAACATTGCTTAAATTTGTTAATTACTTGTGATATAGTATCTAATATATATATTGTTATGTGCTACATTGAGATTTTGGTCAGATCATACTGTGTATAAAAAATTTTTCAAAATCTGTGCAACTTTTATACTTTTTGTTAGGTTGTAAAGAGTGGAATTTTGAAAACAATATCACCAAATGACAGAAAAATCCAAGAAGCTATGTTTGAAGTCATTACATCTGAAGCATCTTATCTTAAGAGCCTGAATTTTCTAATTGAGCATTTTGTACAATGTCCAGAATTCAGTGGAGACTTCACAGAGAAACATGTACTAGACAAAAGAGAAAAGCACGTCTTGTTTTCTGACATTCAGCCAGTTCGAGATGTCAGCGCACAGTATGATATTTTTAGATTTTGCACTGAACTTCCTATCTATAAAATTTCAGTTTATTTTAGGAAAAATAAGGAAAGGTGATTTCAGAAAAGGTCATTTTACTCCAGAAGATTAGCAAAACTTAGGAGTTAAATTTACTGCGTAGTGTATTTTTATGGAAACTGACAGACAGTAGCATAACAGTTATTTAAATATGAAAATAATCTAACTGCTACAATAGAAATTTTAAGAAATAAAATCAAAAATCCAATATTTGCTGGTTTATTTGATATTCATAAAGAATTCAATATTTTAAAAATCTTAGAAATTCTCTTAAAATTCATGAAAATAATTATAGAAAGTTACTGCCCTAGCCATGCTTCAAATTAGATTTGAAACATTAATGAAATAAGTGGTATATAAATTACAAATATGCATTAAGTCTGAAAAAAATTGATGTGAAATAATGTAATAGTTCAAAGATGTCTCTTCATGTATCTCTAAAATTTTGTCTTCGTGCAGTCCTCCAAAATTTGTGCAGCTTTTCCAACCATGAACATAAGTAAGCATTTGCAATTCAGATCAATCTTTTTATTGTTCATGCATTACCTTGTTGTAAAATATGTTTCATCATACCTTGACACTCTACAGCATAAACTCAACTGCATACAAAGATAACAAATATTGTATTATATATAATATTAAGTATTGTTTAAAACTAACTTATTACAATCATTAACTTCTATCTCTTAAAAGACAGAACGTGCTTAATTTTAATAGAAATAACAATACTAAACCTACCTTTGTCATTCTGAGGCATCTGTATATGAAATATGTTGAATTAGATTCTAAAGTAAGTAATCCACAGAATGAAAAGGCCTTATGAAGGTGAACAAACACTATAATATATTTAAACATAACACTTATAACAAAGTGTGAAATTTTTCATAGCAAGTCCTTGGTTTTCTGCTTTAACGTATTTTTCACAGCTACCTTTAATACTCAAAGTATTTAAATTCCAGAGATCTTCGATTTTTGCATTACTTACATGAAGTGTCAACACTAATGTTGAACTATATGTAGATGTGTCCTTTGCTTCAGATTTATCCATTACTGTCTGTCCTAAGAATGTATGAACTGCAACTAAATGGTCTAAAAGATGTTTTATATTTTATGTTAATAATTTTCCTGTATAATCAGCTCCAATGAGCAAATGAATTTTGTAAGAATTATTTTCATATAAATAGAATTTATCATTTATAGTGGCAAAACATCTTAAATTACCAAGAACTTTTAATTGGTTCAACAAATGAGAATCATTTAATTTAGTAGTATAGGCACTGTTGTGTATGCAGGGTTGCCACGCTACCTGGAAAACCGGGAGAACCGGGAAAAGTCAGGGAATTCGAAAATTGACCAAAAAATTCAGGGAAAAGTCAGGGAATTTAAGTATTTTTGTCAAAATCTGGAAAAGTCTGGGAAGTTCATACAATGATCCCGCCAAAAAAAAGCGATTTTTGCGCCGACGTCGGAAGAGATAACTTTTTTGGCGAATTGCGTATCACGTGAGTGTCATTCGGGCAGCTGGCATAGAGCCAATTTTCGCAGCTCCAATTTGATTGTCTTTTAGAAAGGCAAAGCAAGTTTCCCGCAACTTTTGGTTTCCAGTATTCTCGAGAATAACATGTGCAGTGCATGAACTAAAGAAAGTACCTGTTCTCGTATAAAACAAAATTATACGAGAACAAAATGGGTTTAATCTTAGTATACGGTACCATGGAGGTTAGAATCAAAGAATATGTATTGTAAAGAAGGAAAACCTCTCTGCAACAGACGTGGCTCCGTTCCATCATAGAGGGAAACAGCTGTGCATGCGTGATATATCTGCTGCCAAAGCTCGAAACCGGTGTGGAAGTTCGAAGGTCACGTTATCAAGAGTTCATTAAATGAATATCCTTTAAAATTTCTTTAACCACTTGCGCTAAAAAGACGTGCTACGCACGTCGAGATGTTTTTGTCTCAAACTGCGAGCGACGTGAACACCACGTCGATAAGCATTTATCGCAAAAATGAAAATAACATGGTGCACACGTCGCCTAACAACGAGATTGTTTATTTTTCGAGTTACAGCTCTGGATTGCACTCGCAGATGCGGAGCGGCGTAAATGAGACACTTTACCGCTTGCTATATTGTAGCGCACGGCACCGCAACCGTGAAGTTTAGTCTTAGCGCAAGTGGTTAAACTCTAAAGGAAAAGAAAATATTTTTTGGCGCAAGTAAATTAATTCATGGGTTAGTAATTTTCAGGGGGGGGGAAAACTACGAACATCCGTTTTTAAAATTATTGCGACAAATCTAAGAAGAAACGTCCTTTGATAAAACCTTTCTTTCCTTTTATAATTTCCTTTTCGCAATAATTTAAAAAACGGATTTTCGTAGCTTTCTTTTTGTCAAAGAACGTTTCTTCTTAACACGTTTCTCAATTTCCGGTACACATCGCGGAGAGGGAAATTCTGGCCGCCAGGTTCCGTCGCCAAATCCCTTGGCATATTTTCCCTCCGCATTCTAGCAGCGTAATAGCGTTTTACTTGTATGGAACCTTTTCTTCTTTACATAGACCACAGAATCAGAGATTCTTTGCATAGACGTTCTTTGGTTAGAATAATCTCCAGGTATGGTACAATGGGATTTGGCGACATGATGATGCGCAGTAAACGGGTCATTTTGGTCTTGGCGACAATTTTCAAAATCGTGCCAAAGCCTTACCGTATACTAGAATTTTATCGCAAAATCTTTTTAAACTTTTTTTTTCTTTTTAATACCTTGCCATTTTGCAGTAAAATAAAAAAATAGTAATCTGTCATCTAGGCTAACCATGTAATATAACTATATTCGCTAAAATATCGTTGATTATTCTAATTCAATTTTTAAGTAATTATCTTTATTTTTATGTTATTCGTATAATTTAATGATGCTTCTTCCCTCTAAATTTATTTATTATTAGTAAATAATATTTCCAAATTTCAGGAAATTTTCTCTGGCATAATCTTGAAATTAATTCTAGCAGTATGATTACATACCATCACGAAATTTAATGCACATATTTTTTCCTTATGTATGCTGCGAAATAAAATATAAAATACCTCAATTTATTTAAAATAGATTTCTTTCTTTCGTTTTAGCTGCAGAATGTCTGCAAAAAAAGCCTATTTTATTCCAGATTGGGAAGATTCTAATCTCAATCTTCAATGGAGAAAACAACAACTATTATAATTTTAATTTGTTTTTTCAAGTGTTAAGGTGCTTTTTAAGATCATACCTCACACACAAATTAAATTTACCTAAAATCTAAACCTAACTATTTAGCATTGCATCGTGATTTATAAGGACCGGATTAGCCTCGTGTTGAATTGGTGATGATCATGAGTAATAATTAAATAAAACGTACATTTGTTATCCAATTTATATATCTTAAATTTTATTAAGTTTCTTAAGTGGAAAAGTAAACAAAATTATCAAACAAAGTATACCAAAAATAATTAAGAATAAATGTCCTTTGGGATTTATTGAATAATTAAAGTGAATTTGCTACACAATACAAGTAATACCATAATTAATTTACCTCTTAGCATAGCCAAAGTACATTACGCGAATAGACTGGAATTTTCTTGAAACACACCTGGAAAACCTGGAAAAGTCAGGGAATTTCATTCTCCTGTTTGAGTGGCAACCCTGTGTATGGGACTGCACAGCAAATGACCCATTAATGTGCCTCTATTTATCAAGCGTCATGTCAACTACACTTACAGTTAGTCCCAGAACATTGAGATTGGACCATGGATAAGTGGAAGACAGTTGCCTGTTCGAATTAATCATGATTTCTCATTCAGCACATTAATAGTCATGTCAGAGTGCGCCGTCTCCTAGGTATACCCTGACATGACTATCAATAGGTCATGTCAGGGTACGCCTGCAAGACAGCCTGTATAAGATCTACTGTATTGTTTGCTCGCCCCCTATACAATAGATCCTTCACAGGCTGGTGGTAGCAGTATTATGCTTTGTGAGATGTTCTCATGCGCAACTCTGGAACTGTTAGTTGTGGTAAAACAAACCATGAAAGCTGTAGAATCTCTGAACATAACTGCAGATTAGGTGCACCTTTACATGACATTTGTCTTCCCAAATGAAAATGGAATTTTCCAGCAGGACAATGCCTCATGTCACAAGGCTCGAATTCTGTTGAAGTGGTTGAGGAGCATAAGGATGAATTCCAGTTAATATCCTGGGCATCTGACTCGTTGGATTATAACGCAATAGAGTACATTTGGGATATCATGGAACAGCAGCTCAGAGCTCAAACATCACCATATTCTCAACTTTACATGACCACCGCTTAGACATTTGATACAACCTATCTCCAGTCATCTAGCAAGAACTTGGGGCATCCATGCCAAGGCGAGTTGCAACTGTTTTGTTGGCTAAAGATCATACAATGCGTTATTGAGTAGCTGGTCTTAATGTTTTAGCTCTTCAGTTTATCTCTCTATAAAATTTTGAAATTGTTAAGTAATTTCGCATAAAATGTTTGCAGATGATTTACATTCAAATCAAGTATAAATTGGGAAAGTTGGGAGAATTATTCTTTTGATTCAGACACTGCAAATATTTGCTTGCTCTGAATCTCCACATTACTGTTTTTTTCTCAGTATTGTTTTGCAAGTTTTAGTCCTTTATCGAAACTTTTGGGATCTAATAATAACTCTTTTGTTTCAGTATCTACCAATTTATTAGTAATTACTTCTGTTTTTACAATTTGGTGCTTAAGTTGTAGAGCAAAGTTTAGTAACTGATCTTCTTAATATTGATTCTTTTTGTTTATACAATGGTTAAAGTTCAGTGGCCATTTTACTTATTTTACTATGTATTTATATGTATAATCCCCAAGTTCAGTACTAATATGATTTTCAAATATATTCTAAGCAAATTATATCATATCACAAAATACAGATTCACAATCTC